TGCGTTTTAGAAAATACCACAAATGGCGCGGTAAACGCCATCTGTAGTACGATGCTACATTTTAGGATTACGTATGCTCCAACAAGGTCCATTCAAATATATGGATATCTACTTGCTGAAACGAATCCCGGCGTAGCTAACCTCAACGTGATAAAGACGTTACCATAATCGAATAAAATAATTCGAAGTGGTTTGTATTCTGTCGAAACTTCCAGACGCGGATCGCGATTTCGATCTTTTTAGATCTCATCAGCGCGTCGCAGACAGCTCCCTACGTAATCCTAAAATGTAGCATCGTATTACAGCCGTTCACCGCGCCATTTGTGGTATTTTCTAAGCGAAATATGAATTAACGAGAGCCACGAAACACCAAGTGAAATGTAAAAATTGTCTTGGCTTCGCAAATTAAAACCAACCCCAAGGTCATAATCAATGCTTGCAAGATCAAAACCAAAACAAAACGAACAAAATCAACACCCAGAGCAAGACTTATTAACAAAACGAAGACTAAATGAATAATACCATGATATTATATTAATATTTTCACACGTATATAAGCAACCCAACATACATAGTAGCAAAGAATATCAGGTTTCTCGAAGGCATGTATTGAAACATTCTGGAACACGGCCAGCCTCTATAAATAGTTGTCGCAAGGTCGAGTGAAGTCAGTACGGGAACGAGTTCGGGACGATACAAAACGAAGAAGGAGCGAATAAGTTACAAAGTGTTCATATAGTAGTGGATTGATAACTAATTAGTAATAAAAGTGTTAATTAGGCAGCTAAATTACTGCTAAATAAAGGTAGTAAAAGTGCGAAAACGTATTTAAATACATGACAGTACGTAACAGCGGCGTCAACTGAAGATCACCATTATATTTGTAGTTACCTTTTCTAAATGAACCCTTTGTCAAATTTTATAGTAATATAAATGAAATTAATTGCTTAATTGTTTCTGTATCCACGCCTGGTAGTTTGAAATAATACTCAACAGAATTCTAATAGGTTCAAAGTCGGGGTAGCTATTCCTGGTATTATGAAAAGAGGAATTTCCAAAGTCCAATAACTGCTATTTATCCTTCCTGCAAAGTATATTCGTACCTAATTAGATAGTAATATTCAACATACTGAACAATGCCTTTGTGTAATCAATTAGGCGTAATTGCTCTCTAGGGATCTTTATTAGATGTGCTGGAAAAAAGAGATGTTAATTTATTTGCTGGGGTTCTCAATTTATTTATATTTTCTTCCATTGCAGGCTTCGTTTCTACATTGTATCTTTCTATCCCGGACAAAATTTTATGCGTCAACATGAAGTTAGTCCGGGACTATGTACAATGTGTCACACACACTCAAAAACAATTCTATTAGTACCTACTGCTAAATCTGTTTTACATTACGAAACACAGAATCAATCAATTAATCAAAAAAATCAGAAAGAAAAAGAAAGTCTCACCCCATAGGCAATTCGTTAGAAAGTTGGATTCGGAAATGCTATCGATAAGTCTGACAATTGAGGTTGATGTTGGAGTGATTGGCGACCTCCTCACTAGCAAATTGTGAGCAGTCGTCCTATTTTATTAGTTTCTTCAGTAATAGAGTGCAAAAATTTATTTGTCAGCATTTTCGCTGATAATATTGTCGCGGAAATAGTAACAAATATTCAACAACGGAGAAATTTTTAAGGAGGAGAAACACTCAGAACAGTCAGTCCTTTTTATGATCATCATCATAAGGTCATCAGTCCTAAGACTTGTTGGACACGTACCTCCACTCTTTCCTATCCTGAGCTAAACTTCGCATTTCCCTAAAACTAGAACAACCCACATCCTTAACTATTTGCGTACAGTAATCTAGTCTAGGTCTACCTCTACCCCTCCTAACTCCTGTTTCTGCCTCTAATATGTCTCGGACTAGACCTTCATGC